AAGAAATTGCACGTATAGTACAGGCGATACTTTATAATTTGTATACCTTGCAATTGTTTATATACATATGTGTGCATATATTTATATTTTATACATATAGTTTTATCTGTACTTTATACAAATAAAATTATGTGTGAATTATATCATTGATATATGTATGTTATACATTTGGTATAAAAATAGTTAATAGTTTTATTTCGCATAGTCATGCTTACCATGAAAGTGCAGTTTTTCCTTCATCTTTTCTTATTGCACAAGCATACTTTATTTTAAAAGAAAAACAGAAAATATAAACAAGCGCAAAATCCCTTGTAAATCAACTACTCAAAATTAATCACAGCTATTCCTTAATGTCATGTATTCATTTAAAAAAAAATAGAAGTTTGGAATCACACTGAATATGTCACTTGGCAACCACCACGATTGTCGTACCACATTCCCACATCAATCATTGTTAAGTCTACACTGTCAGTTTTCATGGCTGTAGACTTGGCCATGAAGTGGACCCGTGGTAATAGGACCAAGCAGCCTGCCTGCTTTCTTTGGATGTTAAGTTACTCTCAATTCTTCCCTTTTATAAGAACACCTGAAAGAATGAAGCTAAATGTTTGCACATAATCCTTAGTTACCTGATGGGATAATTTTTTTTTCCCCCACTCATTATGTTTTAACTACAGCAAAATGTTGATTGTAGTTATCTTTGATATTATACAAGATTATTTTGTTTTCTCTAAATGCTTTGCAGTGAACATGTTTTATTCATGTAATCACAATATCATTGAAAATTATACCATAAAATTTTCTATATTACCACAGTTTTCATGGTGATGGCTTTTTATGGCTGCTTATAATTCCACGTAGGGGATAGGCCGTAACTCACTTAACCATTCCCTATCATTGGCCATTTGGGCTTTCTTCCAACTTTTTGAAGATTGTTATGCAGAAAGCACACTCCATATTTGGGGTAATGTCCTCAGGTGAAGTCCCAGAAGTAGACCAGCCCAGCAAAAAGGCTAGTGAACAGTTTTCACACCTTTAGTACATCCTGCCAAACTGCTTAGCCCATAACTCGTTGCTGTCAAGTCGATTCCGACTCATGGCAACCCCATGTGTTGCAAGGTAGAACTGTGCTCCATAGGGTTTTCATGACTGTGACCTTTCGGGGGGCAGATTGCCAGGCCTTTCTTCTGCAGCACCACTGGATGGTTTGAACTGCTAGCCTTTAGGGTGGTAGTTGAGTGTCAACCATTTGCATGACCGAGGGACCTTATACAATGTCCAAATCTCCACTCCCACCAGCAGAGTGTGAGACGCCTGCCTAGCTATCCTCGTCTCCCAGATACCTCTCAGCCCCCCCGACAGTCGCTTTCCCTGCCAGGAGGGCAGGAGCAGCAGGAAATGGTGTTGTCAGCTATGCCAGCATGATGACCCCAGGCCCAGAGCCCCAGGAGTGATTTCTAACAAGCTCGTTTCCTGGAACAGAACCTACAAAGAAAAAGAAAAGAAGAAACAACTGTGCTGGAAAAAAAAACACACATACACAGATTAATATTTGGCGCTTACGTCGCACTTTTAAAATTCTTCAAACGCTTTATAAACACTAGCTAATCAATTAAGCAGCCTAAATCTGGCTACAGTTGGAGGAGAGAGCTTGAGAGGAGCTTAAAAAAAAAAAAAAAAAAAGGCCACCCCCGCCACAACCACAACTCCAGATTTTATTGTCGCCTGCTGGGTGTGATTACAGGCCTCCAGCAGCACCACAAGAACAGCCCTGCTCCAACATGCCGCTGCCCTGACTCCCTGACTCCGCAACTCCCCGCCGGCTGCACGGACCACTGACTCACAGCCCGGCGTGGTGTTATTGATAAGGATAATAATAACTGCTGGTTATGACACTCGATCTGTGAGCTGCTCAGCCCAGGCTCCAGGCCTGCACTGTCTCCTGGAAATGCCAACCTTAGCTCCATTTCACAGATGAGGAGAGAGGCTCAGAGAGGGGATTTGCCCAGGGTCATGGAGCAGGTACAATCCCTCATGCATTCATTCATGCATTCATTCAGCATTTATTTATTGCGGGCCTAGTGTGCGTGCCTGGAACCCCTGGGTGGCTGCAAACAGTTAAGCGTTCTACAACTAACTGAAAGGTTGGCAGTTTGAACCTACCCAGAGGTGCCTAAGAAGAAAGGCCTGGCAATCTGTTCCCAAAAAAGTCACAGCCTTGAAAAGGCGGGGCAGTTGTACTCTGCACACGTGGGATCACCATGAGTCAGATCAACGGCACCTGGTTTTTTGATTTAGTGTGTGCCTGGTGGTAAAACAGTTAGTATGCTCGACTGCTCATTGAAAAGTTGGAGGTTTGATTCCACCCAGAGGCACCTCAAAAGAAGGGCCTGACAATCTACTTCCCAACAATCAGCCACTGAAAGCCTTTTGGAGGCCAGGTCTACTCTGACACATGTCGGGTCACCGTGAGTCGGAATCAGTTCGACAGCTCCTGGTATTTTTTTAGTGTTGTGTCAGACACTGTTCCAGGCAAGGGCTTGGAAACAGTCCCTCCTGGATCTTACATGCTAGTGGGGGATATGACGATTGAGAGAAAACCAAATATATAGTGTATCCATGTGGTGATAATAATGGGACAGGAACCAGAAGTTGGCCAGCACCACCTATGAGGCAGGCAGTGTGGACGACTGGGCCATGCAGTCCTCAGGACTACCCTGGGGGTAGATGCCGGTACCCGGTACCCCACCTTATGGATGACGACGTGCAGAGAGGGTGGGTGCTGGACTGGCTGAGAGGGGAACCCGTCTCCTCACCCCACGTGCTGGCCCCAGACCCTGCACTTCTTCCAAGCAGCATTTCCAGTCTGTCCCGTCTCTGATGCTGAAATGCTGACCCACTGGGCATGTGCCTGGCTCGCTGCTCTTGGCAGCTGCAGTGCTGCCTCTGATGTCGCTGGGATGCTTCTTGTCTCTGCCGCGGTGTGCCTGTACCTCCTTGTGTCTCACACACCTGGCACCAGCCCCACGCCTCTAGGCTGGGTGACACTGGCTGTGCCGCGGCCTCTGTGGGCCTTGGCTTCTCCCTCTGTCCTGTGAAGAACAGGCTGGCGCTCTGAGACTCTGCTCACCTACCATGAGAACCCAGCCCCAAGGGTGATCCTTGACACAGGACCCAGGGCGGGGTGAGGCTGGGAGCGGGGAAAGAGACAGGAAGAAGGTCAGGTGGATGAGACCTGTTCTCAGGCCCTGGGTTAGCCCAGTGGGGTCACACTGGGATCTGTGGGTCTCCCTTCCATTGGGCGCCTGCTCCTGCTGGCAAAGAAGTGCCAGGCCCACAGGCTGGTGGGCAAATCCACAGGGGCTCTCTCCTGCCCAGGCCAGAGCTGGAGTGGGCTGCTCAGGGCATCTGCTGCAGCCCTGGCTGACGTGCAAGGCAAAGGGGCCCAGGTCGGCACATCGCGGGGCAGTGGACGGTCAGGCTGGGACCGGATCGCCTGTCTCCCCGCACACCAGGCTGTCACCACTCCCCATCTCTGTCTGGCTCATTCTCTTTTCCCCCACTCCACCTCACTCTCTCATTCTGTTTGCCTTTCCCTCTCTGTCTCGTTCTGCTTCTCTCTCTCTCTCTCTCTCTCTCTCATTCTGCTTCTCTCTCTCTCTCTCTCTTTCTCCCTGGTCATTGTGGTCTGTCTCCATTTCCTCTCCCCTTCCCCCACTGTGTTCAGAATCAGGCCCTGAGCTGTTCTTCTTTGGTCCCTACACATCTCACAACAATGTCCTCCTGCCCCTTAATCATCCTGGCTGTGTCCTCCCCTTATCCCTCCAGTCTCTTTACCAGGGTCCCTGTCTCATATTCTCCAGGTAGCCTTTGATTTAGGCCTCAGGCTCCTTCCCACTGCCCAGCTCCTGTGTGTCCCGCATCCAGCAGGGGCCTGGCCTGCAGGGGCATCAGTCAGGGCTGGTGGGGTGACGTTTGAGCAGCAGCCCCTCCCCATTCATTCACTGTTTGCATAATGACAAGAATAGCCTCCCCTGTGCCAGCTCGGTGCTAAGTGACTTCTATGTGTGATCTCATTGTCTTTTCAGAACAAAGCAGAGGGCGGGATATTATACCCATCTCCTAGATAAGGAGTCAGACAAACAAAACCGATGGATAAGCGTATTCACACGGGAATAAGGGATCCAGCCAGGTTTCAGACCAGATCTGATGACAGCAAAGGCTAAACTCTTCTTTTTGACAGTGTCTCTGCCCTAGACGGATCTAATCCTCGCAGAGACTGGAGATGGGGTCAGTAACTATTTCACAGAAGAGGAGATTAAGGCTCAGGAGCAATACAGGGACCCACCCAAACCAAAGCGGTCTGCAGAGCTCACTCTCATGAGTGCCCCCTCCGAGCCTATCAGTCACCTGAGTGATTGCCCAGGGTCACATGGCTGGAAGGCACCAGGCCAGGACTCCAACCCAAGTTCTCCTGCTTCAAATCCCGCATCTTTTCCACGGCTCCACTGCCTGGACGAAGCCCAAACCACCGAGTACAGCTCCCTGCTTGGAGCCTGCTTCCTGGGCCAGGCTGGAAACAGAACCTAAGCTCCTTTCCGAGCCCCACACACACATGCTGCCGCACACCTCTGAGCCTTGGCCCAGGCTGTTCCCTCATCTGGGAACACCAGGTCCCCTTTCTTCCTGGTAAATCTGGATTTGAACCCCAGAGCCCAGCTCAGACAGGGATCTTCCAGAGAGGGTTCAGGGCTCCACTCAGGCAGGGTTCACACCCATATCTGCCAGGTCATTAACCACTGTGTGCCTCAGTCTCCCCATTTGTCATGCAGTCTCACCGTGTAGGCTTGTGGTGAGGATTCCATGAAATGATACATGGGATGTGCTGAGCACAAGCCCAGCCCAGGGGTTGCACTCAGTCAGCGGAAGCTGTTGCTGATAAACACCTGAGACAACAGACAGGACCTGTGGGATGAATAACAGCCCTGTGTTTCCTGCAGGAGTGACAGGTCAGGAGGAGCTGCAGGTGATTCAACGTGAGAAGTCGGTGTCGGTCGCAGCTGGAGAGGCGGTCACTCTGCCCTGCATCGTCTCCTCTCTGCATCCCGTGGGGCCCATGCAGTGGTACAGGGGGGCTGGGCCAGACCGGCAGTTAGTCTACAGTTTCAAAGGGGGCATAGACCGCTTAGGCCGCTTCCCCCGAGTGACAAATGTTTCAGACTACGCAAAAAGAGACAACATGGACTTTTCCATCCGCATCAGTAACATCACCCCAGCGGACGCCGGCACCTACTTCTGTGTGAAGTTCAAGAAAGGGAGCCCTGATGACGTGGAGTTTAAATCTGGTCCTGGGACACAGGTGACTGTGAGTGGTGAGTAGTGTGGGCCCCCTCCCCCCGGTGTGTGACGACAGCTCAATCCTAACACCCTCCATTCTTTGAACAACAATGAAGTATCAGATGTGATAGTGGGTGTTTATACTCACGGTCACCTTTCAGCCCCTTTTACAGATCAGGGAGCTGAGGCCTAGAGGCCATGCTATTTGCTTAAGGCCCCACAGCTGATAAAAGGCGAGAAAAGTCTAGAAACCTAGTCACCCTGGCTCTAAACCCTTGCCTTTTCCAATCTTGTCCCCATAGATGAGAGGACTGACAGTTTGGGCAACTTGCTCAGTCACAAGGACAAACTTCACCTCCTGCCCCCAGATTCCTCCCCCTGCATTGGTGTCGTGTCTCCTCTTATTCGACAAACATTTGCTGAGGACCTACTGTGTGCCAGGCTCTGCTCTTAGTGTTTGGAAACAGCAAGGAACAAAGCGAGCAAAAGCTCTCCTCCCACGAAGCTTCCGTTCTAGGGCAGAGAGAGGGTGTGAGATTCTTTATTTAGTCTTCAGAAACATCACACTGAGCAGAAAGTCCTAAGAGGCAAAGCCTCGCTGTTTTATCTGAGAGTCCTGGTTGGAGGAGATGCCAAGAGGGCTGGCTTGGCCGGGGCTCTGCCGGGAAAACCCCGTGATTTAGGACC